CCGCCATGCAGCTCAGTAAAGATGTAAAGGTTGCTCCGAATAATGAGGAGGAAATAATTTGCAGAGCAGGAAGAAATCAAGAGAATTTCATCACGGGGTGAAAGTCAGTAACAGTAATGTAGCTTGTTAATTTGTAAGAGGGAAAATGCGATGACTTAAATAAATGATAATGATGAAATAGCAAAGAATTGAGGAGTATCATAGGTACCAATTCAATGGAAATTTGTATAAAAAAGAGCCCTCGTCAGTACTAAGAGAGCCCCCGTGAGAAGGCTCACAGGGGCTCTTTTTTTTGGGAAGAGCCCCCGTGGACAAAAAATTTATTTGAGCCCTGGGCATAAACTGAGTATACATGTACAGTATGCTACAGGATAAAGGTTGTACCCTACTCTCCATTCAACAGCTATAATTAATTTTGTGCTACCAACTTGATTGCCATACAGATTCAATAACTTAGATTTCAACTACCTAAGTGCTTTGTTTATTGATAATTATTTAACTGACAAATACCTCTTTCAAGCTGGCCTGATTTTCATCGTATGCATCCGATGAAACGGCCACTATGAATGCTACAGAGGAAAAAAGCAGATTAAATAGCAGATGAAAAGAAGAGAAATAGGCGATTAAATTCTCCTGCTCAAGAGCAGGAGAAATTCTCATTCTATCAGTGAATTCAATGCTAGATGTACAATTAAAGATAATCTGAAAGTTTGAGTGAAAACGGAATTGAGGAAAACTGATTTGATTGATTCCTTAATTCTCTGAACTATATTATTACAATTTAATTATGTGAATGTAAATCGTCACAAAGAAATGAATTGGCTCTATATACCATCCCAGATATTTAAGTGTGGAAAGATTTTTAAAAGCCTGTCTTTTGGGAGAATTTACTGTTAGAGGGTGTTGCACAGTGACGCCTTCAAAGAAAACCATAAATATATTTGTGGTTTTAGAATTTTTTCAGGATTTGTTGCATGTTAGAGAGTTATACAGCAGAAGGCATATCAAAAATAACATTTCATACAAAAATTACGCAGTTTCTTCATCAACCTTCAATAATGTTACTGAGTCACTTTAAGGCATAACACATATTGTATTAGAAACCTTACACAGTACCTTCTTTGTGTTTTAGGGAGAAAAAAAAAACATGATTGCGCACCACTGTGAGGGGGGAAATCCTACCCAAGTCATGAAAAGGGTAAAACTAGGGAAACTTGTAAAAATGACCTTTAAAAAAAAAATCCTTAATGCTTTTTTTACAGTAGGGTACAGATATATTCAGATATCCGTGCTAAAGTTACATACAAACATGTAATAACCTGCCCAGGATATATTTAAAGTATTAATATTAAAGTAGGAATCACCTGCAGGATGGGGGAAATTTAAAGTTGCCATATACATGTAGGGTATGTATATACCCTTATGTCAATAATTAGAATTCTTCTTTTTTTTACCTATTTTTAAAAAAAACCATGATTAGATTTTGACTTTATTTAAATCAAGCAGGGGGGAAAGAAATCAGGGGGGGGGGGTGGCTTAGACTACCCCCCCCCCCCCCTCAAAACAAAAAATGCTGTCTGGCTTACATTTTGGAATTCTTCTAAAAAGTGCAAGGCAAGATTTTAACCAAACTTAGTAGGGATTATACTTAAGCAAGGGTGATGTTAAGTTGTTCTATTGGGGTACGTTTCCTTTAGGGGGACTGGGGCAGCACCCCCCCCCCCAAAAAAAGCATGCGCACAGCTCACCCAAACAAGTATCGCGCTGGATGTTCCAGTAGTGGAAATGGTAGTTAAAAAACAATAGTTTTTCGAAATGGTTTTCTGGAACGTAAATAGACCTCATATTTAGAGCAGTATTTATGTACCTACATTAAATAACATGGGTATTTTGTTAAAAGTCATTTAGTAGCCATAGCAAATTGCAAACTCAATTATGTATTGAGTGTTTTGTAATTTGACCTACATGTTCATGTTAATGTTCATGGAGAAATACGTGGAAATATTTTAATGTAGACTTTGATTTCTAGATAAATTTATTATAACCACTTCATTGTATATTCCATGCTTGTCACTAATATTGCTCATATTGCATGTATGTAGGTTAATATGTTGATATGATTAACAGATTCTGATGATAATGTAGAATGTATGGTATCCATTAAAAGGGAAGGAGCAACAATCTTGTGCAGAGGGGATTTCTGTCTTTTAAAAACAAGATACTACATGTACATGTCTTTTGCACCCAACATCAAATTCTGTAGAACTTTGCAGGAATTATGAATATGTCATGTATGTCATATCTGTGAAATCTGTGACTTCACTGTCAGACATTATTGAGTGACTGACTGACATCGTTTTTTCTTTGGTAATATCATACATAAAATGCTGTAATTCAATGTAGGTACATGAGCATTTGTCTACATCAATGACCCACTACTTGGGCCAAATGGCCAAAATTAAAGTGATTGAATCAAAATCAAAAACTTAACCTTAGGTTATTTTTAGTATAATTTTGAAAGTATAAGTTCTCATTCAAGGAAACTTAGACTAAAGGGTTATCAAGTATTTCCAATCATGTGAGTAGAATTTCAGGTCACAAAATCAAGGTCAAAGGTCATTTCAGGTCAACAAACTTAGACTTTTTTGTGGCATCAACATCAAGATTTTGAATTTTTAGCATAATTTCAAAAGTGTTTGTTCAAATTCCATAAAAGTTGTACACAATGGTTTTCAAGTATCACAAATCTTATGACACAAATTCCAGGTCACAAAGTCAAGGTCAAAAGTCAGTGTGTGAGGATTAATAAATACATTTATGCTATTTTTTCATATATGATATTCCATTAAAGTTATTAATCTTGGTACAAATTATAGTAAATAATTCTTCAGATGACTCTTGGTCAATATTCACTTCAAAATGCTGATTATATTTTGAGGATTTCATTGGGGAGGGGGGGGAGGGGGGGCTGCTAATGGGCCACCCTGCCTATGAATAATGTTCCAACCTCAATTTTTCGTCATATTAAATTGTGTAATGCAGGCGAGAGCGTTTCCCTTGTTTCTATTTTTTTGGCCTGCAAATGGGACATAGTACCTTTAAGGGATGGTCATGATGATTAGAACAAATTATGTACAATTTGAGGCCGAGCTATTATGATCATCCTCTTATGTTGGATGTTGGTTCAGTTGATTTGAATTGAACTGGTTAATATATAATTCTAAATTATATCCATTGTTGTTTTACGTTAAAGCATTTAGAAGTATATAATTTCTCTCTGTATCATAGATTGAATAAACACTGAACAGCAACTTGTATTATTGAAATTGTGTAAGACCCCATTCTCACTCTATGCTAGACTGGTCTACATTAGAGCAATTTAAAATTGAGTGTCAGGAATACTTCTAGACCGGTCAAGAAGACCACATTGAGTATGTTGTCTTCTAGAACGGTTTGTTTCCTAGACCACTCCAGACTGCTCTAACGTGCAGTGTGAAGACAAACAGTGCCAGGAAGTGTACTTTATTAAAACCAGAAGTGTACCTTAACCGGAAGTGTACTTCAACCGGAAGTGAGCATGTTTTTGCGGTAAAGTAATGAGTCTTGGAGGAAAGAGAAAGAAATATGGGAAGAGGTAGAAATGGAAGATGACAGTCGAGAAATAAGGAGATACATACTGGAAGATAAACATTTGAAAAGAAGAGATGAGAGGGGGAAAATAGACAACATAAGAAAAGATAGAAAGAGAAAAATGATAGAATTACAAAAACAAAGAATAACATAAGGAAAGAAGGAAAGAGAAAATGACAGAATTACACACACACAAAAAATGATAAAGGGAATGAAAGAAATAAAAGATGATGGATAAAAACAAGGAATAGCATAAGGAAACGCACTAGGGAAGATGATAGAAAGAAAAACAAAAAATAACTTACGGAAAGGTAAAAAGAAAAGAGGATTGGAGAATACGGTAACAAAGAAGACAAAAATAGAAAAATAGAAAGATCAGATTGTAGGAGGTTAAAAAGAAAGAATAGCATAAGGAAAGATAGAAAAGGAAGACTAAACCGTGATCAAAGTAAAGAGTAACATAATGAAAGGAGGAGGAGGTAAAAGGAAGCAATGGATAACAAAAAAAGATAGAGAGAGAGAGAAGATATAAATGATACCATGACTTGTGCTACTATTATAGCAACAGGAAAAGTGTGTAGACAAACAAATCTTAGATCTTGTTGGATCATGGACCAGTCTAGCGTAGACCGGTCCAAAACGTGAGTGAAAATGGGGTCTTTGTTTCCTGTGATTAACTTCTATTAAACAGTAGTGCTGTACATGTAAGTCAGGCGCCATGTTCGGGTTCGGCAGAGTTCAGTTTGGGGTTCGGTAATATAATAGCAAGCAGCGTTATAGCTATGGTGGTCGGCACTGGGCGGCACCGATCAGCACGGAGGACTTCTTGTTTATAGCTTGCGATCGCGATGTTGCAGATGTCAGTATTTGGGATTTAAATGGCACCAGTGAAGTTGCGCCCACCACTGGAGAGGCATAAATCACAAAGGAAGAAAATTGGAAAAAAGTAAATATAGAAGGAGCAATTATTACATGAAAATTAGGTACAAAATGACATGTTAATTGGCTTGCGAAAACGTTTACATTTTTCTGACAAACATCCAAACCAGGCCTTTGCGTTCAGCTACAGCACTTTCTAACAGTAGCACACATTTCCTGCAGAGTAATAGATTTGTGAATGAAATTTCTCTTCATTGCATTGCATTGCATTGCATTGCTGCAAGCTATTAAAAGAAAGGTTAATTTTGTCATGAGAATACATGCTTGGTGCATCAACAAACTGTGTTACCATGGTAACCAATTTTTTGGCCACTTTCTCAGATAAAAAAAAAGTGTTGACAGATGATAAAATTATAAGACTCATCACTTCTTGTAGGAAAAACATATTTTGCCAAGGTAACCTCCAAATGTTGTGATTTCCACTTTCTCAGATCAAAAGACGTGGATTGGTTGACCTATTTCACGAGGAAGTTAGTGGACGATGTAGCCTCTCACGTCAGGCTCTTCAGGAATTCTCAGGATAAACTCAAGGCTATCATCAGATCGGAAGGTCGGTGATACCACTTTCATATTCATGACCAGAGAGTGTTTAAACATGTCGCTTTTCTTCAGGGCCCTAATGCATAGCTTAGCAATTGATTTAATGTACATGTACAATCAATTTATCGATCATACAATCATTTATATTGTGGGAAATTGCAAAAAATACAATAAATTGAAAAATTATCCTTATGTTACTGGGCCCGGATGACACAAAGGGTTGCTATTGTTTAAGTGTTGATGTAGAAATTGGTTATTTTTTGTATCTTTGTTTATGTGAAATATCAGGTTCTCTAAATCCTAGACAGATTTGCAGTGTAGAAGAAGAAAGTCCTGAGTTATTAAATCAGAATCTTGGCATGAAACTTTGCGAGTAGTCTAGATTACATGCTCCATTAAATTAAGTTTGCAATCACAAAAGTTTTTTGCAAAGGAAATGTCCGTCTGTAACATTTTGGTAGAAGAGGAAAGGGAAAAGTCATAATACATGTAGTATCATTTTACTTTGTATAGTGTTGCCATTCTGCAGATCAATCCAAGTTTTCCTTTACCTTTTATTTTCAGAAACAATTGCACCTCCACCTGACCTTGAATCTGTCTTCTTTGATCTGGAGATCGAGATGGAGAACGGAATCTGCCGAGACCTGGTGTGCACATCAGAAGAAAAAGAAGCGGGTATGAAATGCTTTTCTTCATTACTTTGTTAATTATTGTATCCCCCGACAGTATGCCGGTGGGGTACTTTGGATTCAGCAGCGTTATGCCGCGGCGTCATATTCTTGTGTGCGCTCTAACTGCCACATTCCTTGATGGATTTCTTTCAAATTTTGTATGGAGGTGTATCGTAGTATAATCTCAACACCTATAACTTTTGGTGATGCTGACCCCAGTGTTCCGTCTTCTATCTAGGGTAAAAGGCCATATTTTTTTGGATGGTTTGTGTGTGCTCTATAGGCCACATTTTTCAAGGGATTTTTTTCAAATTTTTAACAAAGGTGTATCTTGGTATAATCTACGCACCTACAACTTTTGGTGATGCTGCCCCCAGTGTTCCATCTTTTATGTGGTCAAAGGTCATATTTTGGTGGCTGTCTTTTATGCGCTCTAACTGCCACATTTCTTGACAGTTTTCTTTCAAATTTTGTTTAGAGAATTAGAAATGTATCTTGGTACAATCTACACTTTTGGGCGATGCTGCCCTCATCGTTCCGTCTTTTATGTGGTTAAAGTTCATATTTTGGTGGCTGTCTTTTATGCGCTCTAACTGCCACATTTCTTGACAGATCTTTCAAATTTTCTACAGAGATGCATTATACTCTAATCTACACACATATTGTTTTGGTGATGCTGCTACTAGTCTTGATCAAAAATCTGAGCCACTAGTGGTGATCTCTACGTTTCAGGGAGGTGAGAGGGGATCTTTGTTCCTCCTTCGAACATAAGGATGACACAAAAATCGCTGCCACTGCTGGGGGATACATTCGCATTGCACGGCAATACAGATTGCAATATTTCTAGTCCTTCTCCCTCCTTGCGCACGTGCATGTGTTATCACAGGCAGATTGTGTATGGAATGTAGAAATGGCATTTACTTCAATGGATCAGATTTTTTATTCTTCCCTAATCAAATTTCCCAAATTTCACTCCTTTCTGACCTTAAATAATAATACTAATAATAATTCTACATTTATATTGCACACAATTCTGCCAACATAATGGCACTCTTGGCGCACAATAATGTCATATGTGCGCGTTAAAAATAGAATCTACGCTCGCCTACATTTACCAAATCTACCACATTTTCGAAAATATGCTTCTGGTTAATTCATGATAGCACTTAAACAAGTCCATGAACCCTCAAATTCATTTCATTATTCGGATAGAGTACGAGCTAGAGATAGGCCCTACAATTTCATGTCTCATTTGACCATACTTTGCTTAGTGACGTCATTTATGGCCTTTCAAAGTCAGAATTCTAAATTCCATCATTTTCATGATATTCAGCTCTGTTTTTGATATCATTGTTGATGTTCATCAAACTGTATCGCCGTTGTTCATCGCCTATTTCCCCCTAATGTTAGTATGTACCGTATTTGCCGGCGTAAAGGCCGCAGTATTTTTGGAAGAGAAAATATCAAAAAGTCGGGGTGCTGCCTTTGCGGCGGAAGAGTAAAAAAAAAAAAAAAAACGCAAGTCAAAACTATGAAAAAACAGCACAAATTAGTACATATGGGACTACAATAACTATAAATAAAAAATAAATAATATGGTTATCTACATAGCGCCGGTATCCGTCAGGTGACGCTCATGGCGCTTTACACATATTACCCTGGTCATAGCCGAGCTGCCAAAGTAACTACCACTATGGTACAGGACATTTCCACAAATCTTACCGACAATTTTAACTTGCATTGTTGACACAAAGATGAAAATAAACTTCCTAAAACAACATCTGCCGATAGATCTTGATCTAATTTTTTGCCAATGCATTGCAAAAGTAAAAGAAGGGACCGTTTAACGGAGCTGCCGCGAACGCAATTGCATCCAGCCGAAGTCGCCACTTTGAATCCATTTCATGCGATTTCGCATTACACCGTACATTGTGGTAGGGGTATATATTGGACACCAAAACTTCCGGTAATTTATAAGAATATTGATGAATTTGGTATCAGTTTGTAAAAAAAAATAGTGTTTTACTAGAAAATTACGATTATTTTGTTTTGTCCGTTTTTTTTTCCCCTTTGTTTTTGTTTTTTTCTTTTTTTTCCCCCTCTTTGAAATTTCAAAGTTGGGGGTGCGGCCTATGCGGCGCTGCGGCCTTATCACCGGGAAAAATATGGGTAGTAGTGTAGCTGAGAGTATGTGGAATTTTATTAATGAGAAAATCCATATTACAACCTGTTGGGTTCAACTCACAGGTACTACAATATGAAATTGTCCAGTTTCTGTGATGCTAGTATCCTTCTTGGATGTCATTGTTTCATATAAATATTGAGCTTGGTATGTTGTGTACAAAGGCCAAAGGAAGTTCTGATTGTTGATTATACCTCAGATGCTGTCTGATGATTGTTTCTTCGTCTTTTCAGAGCTGTTGCAGATCACAAATTCATCAGCAATCACCAATTCTAGTCTAGTTTTGTTTTTCTACTAGGTTTTACGGTCATGAGGTCAAAGATCAAAGGGTCATACATGTATTTATGAAAAATAGCTTGTAATCACGTTATTCTAAGAACCTGTTAATGGATTACAATCAAACTTGAATTTTAAAAATGCTTCTGTTTTGGCATGCAGTCAAAGATCTATTTTTTATGCTTCGTTCTTTTTTTTTCTCCATTGTATGTGGAACATTTTTCAAACAAACAAAATTCATTCTTATTATCATTTATTAGGCAATTTAGCCTTTAAATTATTAATATGCATGAGGCCATCATGATCTTCCCTAAACTTATTACTGCAGGTCTAAACATTGTGGAAATTGTGCCCAAATCAACAATCTCAATCTCATATGAAGACTATTTTTAACCTTTTGCTACTTCTTTTCTCCTTTTTCCTTCTTCTTTTGTTTGTTTATTATATCGAATTGCCACCTTCTTCCTTTTAGTGATAGATTTGAATCTCTTTGATTAAAAAAAAAAAAAATGATTGAAATTTTAGAAAAATCTGATGAAAAAAAAAATCTGGTTTCAATTTGAAAACAAAATCTGATGTAAATATTTATAAATTCTGATTCAACTATCTTTTTCCAACCCTGAATGCATTCGTGCGAAGCTAACCAATTTTTCCTATTTGCAAAATTATTAAATTTGGTTGACATGGTTATCGTTATATCATATGCATACATGTAATGTATCCATTTTTCAGCTATCTTGTAAACAATTTAAGTGTATTTGAGTGTAAATATGTATACCGTACCAACAATTTTGGTATCCTGTGTGTTAAACTATATCAGATTACAAAATGAACGTTTTCAATCAATTTTTTTTCTTTCTTTTAAATACGTGGTTATCATCTGTTCTTTATTTTATTATCCCCTCGCCGACGAAGTTGGAGGGGATATAGAAACGCTGCCGTCCGTTCGTAACAAATTTGGTTTCCGATCGATAACTTCAGTAATGTTTGACGGATTTTAATGAAATTGGATATGAAGATACATGATATCAAAATACAGGCTAAGTTCCATTTTGGAGTACGTAGGTCAAAGGTCAAAGGTCATAGCTCATTAAATATGCGAATCTGGTTTCCGATCCATAACTTTAGTATTGTTTGACGGATTTTAATGAAATTTGATATGAAGGTTTATGGTATAAAAACACAGCCCAAGTTTGATTTCAGAGTATGTAGGTCAAAGGTCATAGCTCATTAAATATGCGGATCTGGTTTCAGATCCATAACTTTAGTATTGTTTGACAGATTTTAATAAAATTTGATGTGAAGGATCATGGTATCAAAACACAGCCGAAGTTCGATTTCGAAGTATGTAGGTCAAAAGTCATAGCTCATTAAATATGTGAATCTGGTTTCCATTCGATAACTTGAGTAATGTTTGACAAATTTTAATGAAATTTAATATGAAGGTACATGGTATCAAAATACATGTACAGCCTAAGTTCGATTTCTGAGAATGTAGGTCAAAGGTGAAAGTCATAGCCCATTAAATATGCAAAAAGAATTATGTGAAAATGTGGTTAACTTCCTTGCCTAGTAATATAATAGTATAGTCCACTGGAGGTAACTTGTTCTGACGTATATAGGTCATTTGTACCCTGCGAGGGGATGCTACGCTTTGCGTTGACTTGTTTTCATTAAAAAAAGAAAGCATTTTCTATTTAAATTGAAAATTCCATTCACATATTTCTTGTAATGATCAAGGATAATTCTTGAATAATCAGTTATTTCATGGGGATACCAATGAATTTGTATTTTACCTGTTTATATGCTTGTATATTATCTATTTTGTTTTTGCTGCTGTTATTTGTTTTATTCTTACTAAACAGGGCCTCATGGAAGACCACCAAATTGGTGATATGTGCCACCCTGTATAAATATCAGAACTGAATAAATAAATAAATAAACAAGTTAAGCAAAGTAGCGATTTTGATATGCTTGAGGCCTACATGATCTTTCCTTATCCACTATAGTACATAGTCCTATGCAATTAATTCTGGAAATTATGGCCAATTATATAGATTATTTCAATAAAAAAATCAATACAATTTTAAACCAAGTTATTTTATTATACCCAAATTATTACTGGTTTCTTACTTTCAATGATTGTTTACTTTACAGTTGGAGCTACGCGAACAAGTTTTAATAGCATGTGTCCTTGATTTTTAAACGATTAAAAAATGAGTTTTAGAAAAAGGTGGTAATTTCAATCTTTTAAAATCTTTTCTTTATATAAAAAAAAGAGAATTCACATTTTTTTTTCTCCATCCCTGGTAACTCGCTATTTAATTTTGTCACAGTCAAATAGTTTTAAAATTTGCCTTAAAATAGAGAGTCATTGGTTTAAGCCATCAATATTCTTAGGCTAGACATTCATCTACATTTGTCACTTTCCACCCATTTGTAAGTGCTACCTGGAAAGAAGGATTTTGTTGAATAATGTGAGGTTAGCTAAAGCCATGGTATATTTTTAGCAGTAGACAAGAAAACAATTTTATTGATTATAATTATCTTGCTTCAAAGGCACTATGTCCCTTTTGCAGCCAACCTCATATTCTGTAGAACTTTGCAGGAATTATGAATACGTCATGTATGTCCTATCTGTGAAATTTAAACGTTAGCAGTGTCCTCATATTCAAATTATGCAAGGAAACCCATTTACTTGCTAGACTTCACTGTCAGACACTATTGAGTGACTGACTGGCTTTTTTTCTTCTTTGGTAATAACATACATGAAAAGAGTTGTAAAGGGTACATGAGCATTTGTCTACATCAATAACCCACTGATGGCCAAGATTAAACTGATTGAATCTTTTCGCAGCATAAAACGTACATGTATGACCATTCGGTACAATTGTCTGAAAATCAAGACTATTACTTTTGGGCTCTATAGCCCTAAAGTCGATTTGACAACTAATAGTCATTATTTTCCCACTTGAAGACATTTTCAAGCCCCACCTTTTTTAGGGAAGTTCTAAATTAGTATTATCTTTCAAATGCAGTTGGAATTTAACCTTTTCATTTTTTTGCCTGCAAATGGGACATAGTACCTTTAAATATTGTTATTGTAATAGTGTGGTAACTGGTCAGTCACATTTTCCGTTTAAGCTCTTTTAGACATAATTGAAAAAGAGTTCTGGATTGAATTGTTGTTTTCGAATCTTACTAACTTCCCATCTTTAAGTTGTACTTAGGAATGGATACAAAAAGAATGCCATAAATGGGGTGCTATGCTATTTATTTAGAAATATCTTCTGATCTACCTGGGCAATTCCACGGTAACGGAAGGACACTCAGACAAGATTTTTGAACTTCAGGTTCATACTAAAAGAACTGTTTTATTAGTATAAGATGTGAAACAGTACAGATATAATACCTATATAAGTGCCTTTAATTCTCCCCCCAAAAATTGTCATTATAGTTAAGTAGTTTAAGAATGTGCATATTAATTATCTCGGTAACGGAAGGACATAAAAATGGACATGGTTTTTCCAGTTAATTAGTGTTTATCCAAACTTTGTGAAGTTGATGAAGCTTTCCACTTGACTGAAACACATTTTGTTCCCCATAGTTTAATACATACTAATAAAACATTTCTTTTAGTATGAACCTGAAGTTCAAAAATCTTGTCTGAGTGTCCTTCCGTTACCGTGGAATTGCCCACCTGTATAAATGATACATCCATCTCTCAAATTTAATGGTTTCAATATCGCCTTCTCACAGAATATCTTCGAGCCATTTCTGAAATCTTATTATTTCTGCTGATTCCGGATCACGAGTTCCATAGTAAGCCGTTCTGCTTCGTGCTACGGGAAGTGATAGCCAATGGGATGATCAAATCGATGATTGAACAGCTCACAGATCCTGATTATATTAACCAAACCATCATATGGATTGTAAGTAATGCTGCATTTCTTAGCTATAAAAGAAGTTGACAAAGTGTGTGAATTTCAGATCATCATTATCACTATCATTTATCATCACCATCACTCATCATCATCGTTATCAGCAGCATCATCATCATAATAATCATTATTATTGTCATTATCATTATCGTTATCATTGCCGTTGTTATTGTTGTTACCATATCATTATCATCATCATCATAACTATCATCATAACCATCATCATTTATATTATCACCATTATCATCATCATCATAATCAATAGGGCTGGGACTAAAATGTGAACTATTCAAATAACTTATCGGCACTCGGATAACACTTTTTCCACTATTTGAATATTCACCCAACAGCGAATGTTGATTTTGATATTTGAATATATAAAATTTCATGATGACATTTGGATTTAAAACGTCAAGAAAGTACTGCAAAATGGGGCCTAACCAGGCAAACGTTCTGTAAAGTGGTATCCTAAGTGCAGAAATAATCACAAAGAGTTGTTATCACCTGGATTGTCTTTGATATTTTTCATCATTGTTCTCATCCTATAGTCTATATTTTCTTGCATGTTGTGGCTTGTTTATTTGTGTGTGCCCATGTCTAATGTGGCATGCAAGTTCAAATCCCCATATTGAAGCAATTACCATTGTATATTTCTATGATTCTGAATTTGTATAGCAATTTTATTGACACATTAGATGGTTGATCAAATTTAAGAATCATTACTTCATGATTATCATGTTTCTTCATTGTTTTGGTAGTCCTTTTTCTCCTATTTCGTCAGGTACTTCTGTGTCTTGTTTAATAGTGTGTGCGCATGCATAATGTGGCTTGCCAGTTCAATTCCAAAATTTGAAGTAATGACGAAAGTAATTATTTGATTTTAAACAGTATGGCAATTATAATGACACTCAGAGCATTTAGTAAATTGTAAGAATTATTAATGCATGGTAATCCTGTTCAAATATTTGTCTCTGATGGGTGTTTCACTTGTGTGTGCGCATGCAGCTTTAGCCTGATCGATTGTTGCGTTTGAGGTCAAGAATGAGGTCAAGAATGAAAGTATGAATGACCGTTTACCCTTGAATTTTTTACCATTGCAACACCTTAGTATTGTTTGGCTAAATAAGTTATATCACCTTACAGTAATCCTATCTCGTAATTGTCTTTTGGACAGTCTAATTGTTTGGTAATCATTTTGATATCATTATATCAGGCATTTTGGACCAAGCTTGAGTGAGTTAGATCAATAGACTCTACCGTGAGCCAGAACTCAAGTCGACTTCTTGCCTTTCTTAAACATTTCCGTAACAATTGACTTTTAAGATATTTCTTTAAAGTGTGAGAAAACAATATACATGTGGCATATCAATCAGTGCCATACCACCGGCCACTGCATCGGACACTGCACCAGCACTGCATCGGACACAGCACCAGCCACTGCATCGGACACAGCACCAGCCACTGCATCGGACACAGCACCAGCCACTGCATCGGACACAGCACCAGCCACTGCATCGGACACTGCACCAGCCACTGCATCGGACACTGCACCAGCCACTGCATCGGACACTGCACCAGCCACTGCATCGGACACAGCACCAGCCACTGCATCGGACACAGCACCAGCCACTGCATCAGACACTGCACCAGCACTGCATCGGACACAGCACCAGCCACTGCATCGGACACAGCACCAGCCACTGCATCGGACACAGCACCAGCCACTGCATTGGCATGTTCTTGTGCTTCTGGCACGATTGAATTTGAAACTTGTTATTCAAAATATTTGAATACCTGTTTGCACGAATATTCAAATAGTAAATTTAGTATTTGTCCCAGGCCTAATCATCATCAGCATCATCATCATCATCATCATCTGTCCATTTATCATCAAGTTTCCATGCGTAATAGAGATTGAAAGAATTACATGTATAGTACATGAAAATTGGCAGTGACTGCACCAATTCTAGCTTTCGCAGGGAATTTTCAGCATCACATTCTGTTCTCTATTCTGATGAAGTCTATTTCCCATGGGATATGATTTGTATCAATTGTGGACTAATCATTTGTATACTAGCAGTAAATTATAATTGTAATTTTGTTTTCCCACAGTGTAAAGACAGTACTTTCACAACAGAAGCCTTTCTACTTACAATAAAGACAGCGGCAAACATCGACGAACTGGAGGCCATGATCGAAATTGTCGACCATGAGATATACAAGCAACGGTCACGAGATACAAATAGACTGATGAAAGATGGTAAGAAAATAGTGTGATGTCTTTGTGTTATGCAGTTATTTCTATTTGTAGTTTATTTCTTTGTGATCTTGAATATTATTGAAGTAACCAGTTTTATTTCACAATATTTTAATGGAATATGTGCTTTTATCATGTAGCCAAACAGTCGATAGAGACAATTATACTTATGCTATTCTGCGTTGCTTTCAAAGGAATCCGACATTGGCTCAGGGAATATTTGCCATTGCTATATTTCCCAAAAGTTGTAGGGTAAGAATTTGGTCCAGGGTACACATCAGGACCTTGAGTATTGTTAGAAAGTGACCATAGAGAAATTAATGCTGGAGCATTGATTTACTGGTGTCAATCTATGTAACAACAAATGAAGTAGTGGACAAGCTGTTTTGCCAAGATTAAACACTCTTGTGTGCTCACAATTTGAAATAGAACAAAAGAACAGCATTGTTTACAGGTCAGCTATCAAGTTCAGTATTATTCTATGAGCAATAATCCACATCAATCATAATTCTTTAATTTCAATTGATTTTGTTTTCAAATGGTAAAGTAGACAATGTGGATATTTCATGAGCACTTTGAAAATTGTATGAAATTCATAAACCAATGTATTTAAAATTTAATTTCAATAAAAATGAAATGAATTGTATAAACAGAAGGTGTAGATGCCAAGACGCAGCTGAAGAGTCTACAGTTCTTGAGACAGATGTGTTCAGATACCATCAACAGAATACTGTCTGGTGAAGACTTGGATGCAGCAGAAGAGGTGGTAAGTCTCATCAGTAAACTTTGAATTGCAATTATTCCCCTCTTTTCAAATCAATTTCAATTCAATTTCATTTCAATTCTAATTTATTTTCACTGAGATTTCATACAATTTAAAGTATTGTATACATCAATTTCAATTCTGTTGGATTACATTTGTTTTTCAAATTCAGTATGAATACATTTTAATTTAATTTTTATCAGGACAATTGTAATTTGATTCATTTTCATATCATTACAACACTCAATGCAGTTTTAATTCATTTTAAAGTCAGTTTACCCTAAAATGAGGTCAATATATTACACACTTTATTTTAAAATTATATCAGGTAGCAGTGTCGTGGTCGAGTGGTTAATAAGCACTTGACTTGAAATTCAAAGGTCGTTGTTCGATCCCAACACGGCACTAATGTCCTTTGGCAAGGCATTAATCTTCATTTGCCAAACTCGACCCAAGTGAGGTAAATGGGTACCTGGCAGGAATTAATTGCTTGAAATGCTGCTAGGCTATTACAGCCGGGGTAATAATTAGTGAGCTTTGGAATAGAATTTCTAGATAGACGACGCCATAGAAATGCCTATTATTGTTATTATTATTATTATTATCAGTAATATTCCAATTCAATTTCAGTTTGGATTCACTTAACATGTATCTTTATTGTGATTCAGTTCTATTGCAGTATGAATGAAATTTAAAGTAAACCTAAATTCGATTTCAATTTACTTTAGATCAATTAAATTCAATGACATCTTAAATGTGTCTGTTATTACATGAGTTCTGTTACCATGTTGTTTGTCAGGTTACACGTGATTAAGAATTTGTGTATTTGTTTTGCTCTTTTTTTTTCTTCCATCCTGTGTCTTTCTCCAAATAATTTCACAGCCAATGCAATTTGTTTAATCAATTAATTAAGGGGAAAAAGAAGGAAGGGTAGGGAATAGACAACATACACATTATTAAAAATAGCTCTTGTGCCTAGATAAAAGCAAACAAGCAAGTGATTATTAGATTTTACTGATGAACCTATAACTTTCATATAATATGAACAGAAAGGTGGCTCGCACATCAATTTGAAAAAAGAAGATATGATGCAAAATAACCCTCGGTTTTTTGGACAGCAATAGATAAATGGAGAACATACTGCACTATAAACTTTTACCAACTTAATGTACTTTTTATTCTAAAAATTGTTCAGAGGTAAATTTCATGCAATTTCCATGGTAGTCAAATGATTGTATAAGAGTGCTGAAGCAATAAAAAGCCACCATTTCATGCCTTCAACTATCCATCCATCGCTTATTCTATCCATATATCCGTCCTATCTGTCATTCTCTCTATCCGTCCATCAACCCTTCCCTCCATTCTTCCATCCATCCATTCATCCATCTATCCATCCATACATTTCTCCATCCTTCTGTCACTCCAGGATGATGAAGATCAGTCGTTTGATCCTAAGACGCTCTACTCCTTGCCTCTCAACATCGTCCTCGTCAACAGCATAGCACTTGCGTATTTCATTGGTGAGTCATGTGACATTTGAAACTAAGCATTTACAAGGACTTTGCGTATTGTCAAGAAATACTAGATTGACTAAGAACTAGATGGATCTTTGACTGTATGCAGTCGAAAATGATACCTCCGCCATAGAGCGATTTTACAAACCAAAACAGAAGCAATTTTACAAATTCAAGTTTGATTTTAATCCATTAACAGGTTCTCAGAATATCGTGTTTACAAGCTATTTTTCATATACCGTAAATCCCCGTGTATAAAACGCACTTTTTCCCGCCGAAAAAAAAATAAAATCAAAAGTCAGGTGCCAAAAAAAAAAAATCTTTTTTAAAATTAAAAAATATATATTTTAAGTTTCGATTTATGCCCCTCCACCTGGCACCATGCTCAGTAATCTGTGTGTTGACTCACCACTCTGAAACAAGAACAACACTACCTCTATGCCTGGATTTCTGTTTGGACTTCTAAAGAGGAAAATTTGTCTGTCTTGGCCCCAAAATAGGTATGCGTCTTATAGACAGGTGCGTCTTATACACAGAGATTTACGGTACATGACCAGACCCCATGACGGGACGGACATACAGTACGGACAGGCGAACAACCCAAAAACATAATGCCTCTGGCTACTTCTAAACGGAGGCATACAAATTGTCATTTCTCACTGTTAAGCTTAACAATTTGGAACTCGGATCAGACTGTTACCACATTGTAAAGTTATAGGATGTCAAATGTAAAGATTAAATATTATTGATGATCATAAAGGCCAAATGCTTTTTTTCCCCACCAAACAGAAGTTCTGTGTGAACTCTTGTGGTAGTGAAAATCTGTGTGCCCTGATCCTACTTTGTTTAGAATAATTGTTGGTGGAACTGTAGAAGTTACTTACTGGTACTATGTATGTTAATCTAACCTTTGCTCTAGCCTTGAAAAAGAATAAGAAGAGTTAGGGTCATGATTAGGATTGCGATTGGGTACTTTTATAGATCAATTTCAACTGTACATGTGAGTTTGGGGTTAGATGTACATGTAGTGCCAAGTCCAGGGTTGAAATCAAGAATTTCTCTTGTGTGTGAAATTCACCAAAGAGCTATTTTCATCAGATAAATTGCTTGTTGAGATCCAAAAAGGGTCTTGACTTTATATGAGTAACCATTATGTCATCCAATCAATCTTCTCAAACTTTTGATGGAAACAGACTTCATGAGGAAAGAGAACTGCCAGTCCTATGTTTTCTTCTGGCACACGGTGGAGGGGTACCGAGTGATGGCTGAACAACAGCTCTCCGCCGTCCAACTGGCTAAAGTCCAACCAGGCGATGGCGCCCCTCACAAGGAATCTGTCGTCATGGAGATGCTTCGTTCAGCAGCCCTTAACATCTTTACAGAGTATCTTGCAGAAGATGTAAGTTTTTCAAAAATTTCACTTTTGAAGTAGTCTGATGCTCAACCTTTGAGAGAGTATTTGAACTTGAAATATCTTCACAGAATAATATTTGAATGTAGTATATTAGGCCAAAAAAAAAAAATCATTTGGTTGTCCTCGACCGCCCGCTCGTCATTTTCGGGCCGCTCGTATTTTTTTTTTGTAATTCAATTTTTTTAATTTTTTTTTTTGAGGAAGCAATCTTTAATGCCAAACATACCATTTTATGCATTTGCAAGGATCAAAATGCGTCCGTTGCCAGTTTGGTCTTTTCAGTACGCATTTGATTGATTGATTGATTTTTATTCGACAAGCTTCCAACATACAACAATATACAATAATAACAGATCAACTGGGGTCCAGTATTTATTAAACTTGCCATTTTTATTTTTCTATGTCAAAATGCCGTTCATTCAAATCAGGTTCTGAGCATTCTTAAACTCATTTTAAAGCCCATCTGTACTAGTTTACAGGAGGGATTAGACCACCCTGCAAGGTCACTGGACAGATCAAATCAGCTCTCAGTTAATATAAGATAAAGAGGATCATGGGGGACCAATGGTCACCGATTAGGAATTGTTTGCTACATAAAGGGCACAAGTAGCTATAATTAGTACAATGGAGATTTAAAAGGTGCTGTATTTCAAAGCCAAAAATACTTTCTGTGTTGGTCTTGATATTCATTGTGCATTAAACTAGTCTTTTACCATATTTAAGTGTTTTATAAACTTTGTTTGTTTAAATGCTTGACAATCCCAATTATTTTTTTTTATGGAATAAAAATTATTAAAAAAATAAAATGGGGGAAAAAAAAAAAAAAAAAAAAATGGGGAAAAAAAAAATCAAAAAAAGACACACAAAAAATGAATTAAAAAAAAAAAAAAATCCGCCCGCCCGCCCCTACTCCAAAAAAAGCAATCGAGGACAACCAAACAAATTTTTTTTTTGGCCTTAGCATAGAACTCCAAACCTTAAGATCAAAATGTTTTTGTTTCTTTTTGTTTCGCTTTTTTTGGTGACATGGCCCTTCAATGTTGTATAAATTTTCAGGCCTTTAAATTGGTGATACAATTAAACATTATCAGCTGATGGATTGTAGGTTAAATTGCAGAAAAGTTTGCTTGCATAATCTTAAGTATTCAATTGTTGTGACATGTTATTTCAAAAGTTACATGAATGAAATAATTAAAAATAAAACATTACGTATGGCCAAGCCGACATGCAGTGAAAATGTTAATGAAAGGGATGATTTTTATTTGTCTGAATGATTCAGATGACAACCTTTCTATACGTTCATATTCCTCAGGCAATCACCAGAGTGAAGTTAGTTGACTGGTCAAAAGAAAGAAAGATTCTGCTGATTCTGCTACAAATTTGGGGAAATTATGAATCCCACAGGCTTTCATTCATATATTGCATTACACAGTGATTCCATGAGTGAATTCTGTTATCAAATTTTGATATTTCTCAGGCCATAAATAGGGTAAAGACAATAGCTGGTGAAAGCATTTTATCAGTGGCAAAGTCAAAGCTTTGGCAAGTGAATGCTGCATGCTTTCATCTATTATCCTATGCTGTAATGAATAAGACCTACACTGTTCACTTCCTCAGATGATATTTATTTATCTTGATATTTTACAGGCAACCAACGGAGTGAAATTGGACGTATTTACTATTGTGATACTTCATAGGCAACAAACAGAGTGAAGCTAGATATTTAGCCTGTGAAAAAAAAGAATACTTCAGTGGTAATTTCAAAGTTTGACATGTTTTCATATATTATCCTGTGCCATAACAAAAGAGAGTTGAACACTTCATTTATTTATCTTGATATTTCCCAGGCAACCAATAGGGTGAAGTTAGACAGTCAACTGGTCAAGAGAACTCATCAGAGAATCAAAAATCAAACTTCACTTGACACTGTCTTCGATGAAGCTCAAAAGAAGGTATGAACTCCATCTCCTGGTAAAATTAGAAGAATATTTTCTTATATTGCACATTTAAAGAGAAGATTGAGTTCTGGGAAGAGGTGAACAAATAATTTGTGAGCATTATTATTGTATTATGCAAGTGTGGAAGAGAGTCAGATAAAAAATGTTCCCTGAAAATCATGGCTCTTCAAATGCCTTAATATTCTAATTGTGGCATGTAATATCATAAAAATCGGCCACATGTTTGTGTAGTCCCAAATACATCTTTCTGTGTACAGTGCTTGTATAAACTACCAAGACTGGCCAAATTTCTTATCATTTTGATGATTTCAGAACCTTGCAGTACACACCAATACTTGTATGCTAGATGATCGAACTTTTCTGATCGATTCCACAACATTTCTTTCACAATGCAATCGCATGACCAGAACTCAACTTTATCTTTAAGGATCATAGGCCCTTGTAATTTGCATAACATGGTTTCCCTTTCATTCTTTAATCCGTTCCATGATATCATAATTCAGAAATCTTGACCCAACATGTACATTGAAATGCATGAAGAAAGAAAATGCTAATATGATGTAAGATGTGGGAAAGTCCTTTACAGAAACCGTTCTATTAAGCCTTTAAGCTGTATAATGGTCAAACATTATTTAAATTTCTTTTGGTATGTCATTTCAGGAGGCAAGCTGCTAGCGCTCCATGTAGTTATCCTGTGGTATACGTTTGACAAATTGATTATATGTATGTGCACAAACATAATCAATACATTTTTAGATAAGCCTGTTCTTTGTGTAATGAACAGGGTTAAACTCGGGTCCTGTTGTAGTAAAGTTATGTTAGATATGGGTTGTACCAGGGACGTGATAGAGAAGGACAGGAATCAAGCCGCTCTCCTTTGACCCCATGCTCCAAGCCGCCAAAAAGTTATGCGCTAATCTGCAACTGTTGACCAGGTGGTGAGATAAAAGAGCGCATGAAATTTCAGGATTTAGAATTCCTACATCAGAAAATGGTATCACTGCAACTGTTCGCTGTCCCTTCCAATGATTTCTCATCCATTGTTGAATGTGTAAAGAGTAGAACAAGCGAACACAAACTTGTGTACTTTCATCCTTTTTTAAACTTGGAAAAATACAAAAAACACGCGAAAACACGCATTAGCAAACTTAATGTTATTGAAGATTGTAAATCATGGATCAAATAACGGGACATTAAAGCATGCACAAATTAGCGCATCATCCTAAAATATTGAGTTTTTGACAGGATGTAATTTTTCTTTTACCAACTCTGGCATACAAATTAAAGGAAGGACGGAGTTCTAAATTTGAAAATTTGTTTGATGCACTATTCCTAATAAAATCCCCATATAAAGTTTTTGATTTACACTGAAATTTTGCCGGTAATTTAATATTTTGTAATAAATGTAAAACTGGTGCCTGGCTTCCGAAATTCCCCGCAGTGGAAGCGCGGTTCGGAGCATGGAACTTCAAAGCCAAGTGGAATGTTACACATCCCATTGTTACGCTTTAGAACTCAAGAATGCGTTTGAATAAATTACAAGAGTTTCGCCTCCTTTTCTTTCACCTCCCTGGTTGTACCAAACACCTGGAGACAAAAAAGTATCTTTCAAAACTATATTTGTATTTTGTCTTATCTCCTTAGGAATTTTTTCACATTTTTCACATTTATGTTACAAAAAGATGGACTCTTCTTCATACTTCATTCAACAGCTGCTGCATCGTATTTTAATGTGTGTTTTCACTCTCCTAAAACATTTGTCAAAGAATATCCTACAACCTCGGCTTGATAACTTAAAACTATCATATGGGGTTATTATGAAGCCTCATTCAGATATGCCACTGTGAACCTTTTTTAACCACCACCCACTGAGAGTGGTGCCAAAGGCATTATGTTTTCGGGTTGTCCGTCTGTCCGTCCATCCATCCATAGTGAAAGAAATTGATCAGATTTGGGGTAAAATAAGGTAAAATCTCAAAGGTCAACAAGTTAATTTACATGAAATTAAAGGTTTCTTTATCCTTTTTATGACCAAATTTATGACCATTTAAAGCTTTTTTAGCAGTGAACTTTAAACGTGTAACTATTGTGCAGATTTTGGAATTGTCAAGTCAAATGTCGTAAAGATCAATTGACATGTAAGTAGCCTAGAGGCTTTTGATTGTCATTGTGATATTCCAAGAATAATTCAACATCAACAGTATACAGAAGAAAAGGTAGTCCTGTCGGTCTTCCGGTCGCTTATTTTTAATGGTTGTTTAAAAACAAACAGACAAAACAACTTGAGGGCACACTAGAGAGATGGATCACGCGCAACATACTGAAATTTTGACCGATAGTTGTCAATTAATCTTTTGAAGATGTTCAAACTTGGTGCTGTGACCACAGACTGAGGCAGATTGTTCCATTCGTTGATAACTCTTTGGCTGAAGAAGTGCCCTCTGAGGTTGAGTCTGTATTGTTGCTTGAAAATTTTCAATGAGGGACCTCTGGTTTCACAGGATGGGTGCATCGTGAAGAACTTGTCTAATTGGCAAAAGTTAATACCATGCAGAAATTCATAAGCTTGAATCATGTCACTAGTTTTCGTATATATACAAATAAGTGTAATTTCAGATGCTTGAGTCTGTGTTCATATGATTTGTTCGCTAAGTTTGGCAGTAGCTTAGTGGCACGTGTCTGCACCCTTTCAAGTTTGTTGATATCCATAAAGAATTTAGGATGCCAGGCACTATTCCCATACTCCAGACGGGGTCTAATGAGAGATTTATATAAGATGGGAAGTGTCTCTTCATTCAGATGTGAACAAGTTTGTTTGACTATGCCAAGCATTTTATTTGCTTTGTTGACTGCAAGAGATACATGCTTATGAAATTTCAATTCTGGATCAATAAGAATGCCAAGATCCTTCTCTTCTGTAGAGTATTACCATCCATGCTATAAGTTTCATGACTATTTCCATGCCCAAGATGAAAGGTTTTATATTTAGTGTTGTTGAACTTTAACTGCAAGTCATTAGACCACTGGGCCCCGTCTTACATAGTTGTACATAGTTGCGATTGATATCAACTTATTGTAAGACGGGGCCTTGAACTGCAGAATCCAAATCCTCTCGGAGGTCAAGCACATTTGACACTTTTTCAAGTCGTGATCTAAACTGAATTTAGGTGAAGGCATATTGCAGAGCTGCCAACCCTCCCGGATTTGTTGGGAGACTCCTGGAAAATCCACCAATCTCCCGATATCCCGACAACACATAACAAATCTCCCAGATTCTTAGGATTAAAAAAAAAAAATCCCTATGGTTATCATTTCATGTGAGTTTCATATGTTATCTAAGTGTAACCTTGCACATGTGTGAGCGACTTCATGTTGAATTTCTTTGATCTACCATAGTCTAGTAGATATCATATTTTCATGATCTTTGCAAACATCTAAATGTGAATGCATTAGTACAAAACCTTTTGGAAGTGTACTTGATAAGCTAAAAATATGGTTTTAGTTAGAGTCCATTTGATGCTTGTTTTTATGCGAAAAGGCGTCATATTTTGTTGACAATTTTTCAATTACAATTACAATAAAAACACTAATTCCTTATGAATCATACCCTAAATTACTGTCAAAATATTCAAATATCATTAAAAATTTGTACCAAAATAGGTGTCAGAATAGCTAAAAACCTGGAGCTCCAAGAGGGCCTCTGGACCCTACCCAGAATGGCTTACTCGCTTCCCCCAAATCTCCCTGATTACAAAAACCAAATATTGTCAGCTCTGATATTGAAGGCACAGTCACATCTGTCTTGTTGTTTTTCTTTGTTATGATGTAAGTGTAATACACTACACAATTCTGTATCTTAAAACACAGAGCTCAGTGAATATGCATAGGACCTTTGTGGGGTGCAAATTCCATTTATTTAGTAATACCTTTAAAGACAAAAAATGCCCCAATTTACTACACCATTTCTGAATGAGTCTTTAATGTCACTCATCTTTATGATATGCATATCTTGTCTGTAGGTGTTCAGCATTTTAGAAGAGGATCGTTTCTTACCGGCCTTCAAGCTTAGTCCTAGCTATGTGAAATGCCTGGCAGAACTTGATCTACTCAAAGATGATGATTCAGCCCGTCTAGGAGACGATGCTTCCGTCCAGCTTGATTCATCGCCTGACAACAGTACTGTGGCTGTGAGTACCCTCCCCCTCCCTCCCACAGTCTGCCTAACCCAATCACCCAGGTTGAGAGAGGCAACTAAAGTCAATGTTTTAAGTTTTTTTTTCTTTCTTGGGTATTACTACAGTATTTGTCGGTTTTTCTTCTCTGTAAAAGAAACAAAAAGAAAGTTAATATATTTACTTCAGGTATACATGTAAATAGCAATGAGTTAATTGAGAAGTTCTGTCAATGTTCTTCACAAGGTTCAAACTTTGAAGTTTAACTCTTCTAGGTTCCATGTTTTCAGTGTGAACACTGTATGTACATATCCTGTTTCACAAAGAAATTCAGTGCTGGATATTTTTGGCAAAACTAGTCAAAGGAGGGATTAGCCATCTCCTGCAAGAACAGGAAGGAGATTATAGAATGGTTTAACAAAATTATAATGCAAATGAAGTAAAGCTTGAAAACATGATGCCCCATGGAAATGAGCTTTGCTTTTAGGATTTTATTCCACGAGAATGAAAATAAATGACAAAGACATGTACCATAATTAACGTTGTATTAACCGAACTTTTTTGCCGCGAAAAAAAATTCAAAGTCGGGGGTGCGTCTTTTTAAAGTTTCGATTTATGCCCCTCCATCTGGCGCTACGCCTGGCAATGTCTCCCAGCTCAGGAATTGGGTGTGTTGACTCACCACTCGGAAACTAGAACAACACTCAAATTTGTTTGTCTTCTTGGTTTGAAAGTAATCTTTCTGATAGATCTCAAAATGTAGTTTATAATAATAATTCCTCCAATTTTTCTTCTATTTCACGGCGTACCACAAGGTTCTATCCTAGGTCCTCTACTCTTTTTTAATTTACATTAATGATCTTACATATTCAACTGCACCTCGCAGTTAAATGAAAGCCTTCCCGCGTGGGCTTTTTAACACGGACCTGGCTTGCTGCCGACAGCAAAAAAAGAGGGGTGCGGTTAATACACGAGGGCGGTTTATACAACGTTAATTAAGGTATATTCATTTGCTGTGATTTCTGATATTTCCATTTTCCTCTCGTATCACTGCCACGACCTATCATCTCTGGGAGGCAAGAGACCAATAGAGATCCTGTCTAGAAAGAATACATTTTTCTGTTGCCGCTAAACAGCATTTCTCAATGAAACCTGTACTAAAGAACCTATTCTTAAGACCACCTGCCTTATGAAGACCACTTTTCTTGTCTCCCTTGAGTTATCTTTATATGCAGGTTCCACGGTATGAGCATCAAGGTCAATATTGCACTACTCTAGTGAGAACCATGTGTCTACCTATATGTTGTGCTCTTTACTGTAACATTTCTCAATTTTTCTCCCGCTCTACTATGATCTAGTCATCAGAAGACCTATCGTCTTTGGGTAGCCAGGGATCTATAGAGCAGCTGAATGATCTTGAGACCCCTGGTCACATTGACAACAACAAACCACACATCATGGCGTACATCACACATGCAAGTAAGTCATTCATGGGTGTTTATGGAAGTAAAAGGAATATAGTAGGCAGTTTCCTTGTGCAGGAGGTCATAATTCACTGACATCGGATTTGGTGGAAATACCATTAATGGGTGTTCAAGTCTTGCACACAACAAATTGGATGTCCCAGCAAGAAAGACCCCCAGTCTTTCGGAGAGTCTTTGGGTGAGGGAAATGTGCAGTGAGGATACCTTTACCATCCTGGATGAATGGAGGAGGGAGCAGTATTTACATAAGACCTGTGGGTTGTAAAAAGTAAAGACTGCTCCTGGTGATTAATAACATCTGTCAACCGGGTAAATACTGAAATTGTGTCAAATTCCCGATGAGAGAACCCATGCTTATGTGATTTTAATTTGTTGACAACTTAATTGCCCTAGAGTTTATAGAGGAACCACCCAAATCCTATAAAAATGTGGTCAATGTAGTTGTGCGATAAATTTCGTTCATGTAACTCAATGGTTCCAATGTCTTGTGGTTAAATTGTTGAAGAAACTGTCTAAAAGTTCCCATGAATTGGTCTCTATGAAGTAAATACATGTATATCAAACTGAGTATTCTGGGGTTTGGAATCATTGTATTTGTAACAACTCAAATTAATCTTCCTGAAAATCCCAACATATTCACAATTCCTTTCACTCTCTGGTATTGTGAAAGAGAAAGCCAAGTCCTACGCTGCCTACGCTATTCATGTTAAGATAACAGAGAGCCAGAGCGAGACAGAGCTCTTGGACATTTTCATCTTCATCAAATATTCTAATTTAAGCCACCTGTACTACTTCAGAAAGTATTTTCTTATTTAGAACTACCTAATCTTATTTCTGTTGTGTCTTCAGGTATTGTCGAAAGAGAAAGGCCAGTCTTATGCTTTCTATGCAATCCATGTCATGAGAACGGACAGTCAGGGCATGACCGAGATCTGGAATGTCTAAAATATTTATGTTTATTTGCACCATTAAATTGCTGCTTTTTTGTTGATTAATGTAACTTAAAGCATCTGTACTTCTTCCTAATATTTTTTCTTGTTTAATCATGCTTTCTTATTTCCATTTCTCTTGGGCCTGTAGGTATTGTTAAAGAGAAAGGCAAGTCCTATGCTGTCTACGCAATCCACGTTACAAGAACAGACAGTCAGGGTGTGACAGAGATCTGGGACGTCTTCAGGCGATACAGCGACTTCCATGACCTTCATATGTGCCTGGCGGAAAAATACGAGTCGCTTCGAACTCTACTCCTGCCGGCGAAACGTGCTTTCAAGAACACCAATAAGAGCTTCTTAGAGAAGAGGGCAAAGTCACTCACGCAATATATTCAGGTCTGAATCTCATTTTTGCAATTACAAGCATACTGGAGCAGGAAAATAGGTTATGGTGATTGCAAGTAATTTATAATTATAACTAATCTGTAATTCATATCATCAAGACAACTCAAATATAATGCAGTTTATGATTGGGTTTCAATCATTTTTTGAGAGAGCTTTACCAATCAGATATGATTATTTACACTTGAATTTGAATGTCGCCATTCGAAAGCCAATTAACAGGAGACTGTGTTCATTATCCAATCCAATCCAAAAGGTATTTGATATAGCACCTTTTCCTTGCAGTTACAAAGCGCTGCACACACGCTCGACAATGTTCATTATCTCCTTTACTATATATATATAATACATGAAAATCATATTATATTAAAATTATACAGCATAATCAATTGTATTTTCCATATTTAGTCTTGTAATTGCTAATCACTTGTGGTTGTTTTCTTAATTTTCATACAACCTATTGAGGTTGCATTCGATCACCTGTCAGTCACCATTACATTTGTTATGCCAATTTTGTTTGTTCCAGACTCTTCTAAATCAAGATGTGCTGACCACTAATCCTGGTCTACAGAGCATTATCTGTAATTTCCTGGAGCCGGGAGTCTATCATAGGGGCAAAGGTCTATTGGCAAGACGGGTAAGGTTAACAGAATTCATTGAGACTATATCATTTATTTGACTATTGCAGGCTGTTTCTGTTGACTCCATTACCTTGCAACATGACAATCTAGATTACTTGTAAAAATTAGTGAATATATTTGGTTTGACAATATATTGTCCTTTTTAGTCATCAGGACTACAATAATTGTCTAATACTACTGTTATCATTTTCCCCTGTTCTCATTGACACCTGTATGTTGATGGAGCATTTTTTACCCCTTTGACTTAGCAATGTTTTTCTCAACCTTTAGACAACTGAATAATTTTGTAATTGTTAACCAATTCCACCCATTTTCATTTGTCATCCGTGTAGATGGACCATTTTGTTAACCCTTTGAAGACTGGCGTTCGCAACGTGGCCCACACAGTCAAAGTCCTCCCAGGGAATCTTGCTGATGGCGTTACCATGGTATCAGATAAGATGTCCGACACCATGAATAAAGTCTTCAAGGTAAGCTGATGATTTCCAAGCAAGACATTCTATTCAGGAATGCTCCCCTCAGTCTCAATCCATTGTCTTCTTAATCCCAATTCCGGCGGCGTGTACAATGCGGTACTTTCGGCCATGTATCAAGTGTTATTTCCAGAATGCTGTCAGAATAGGTAGTATTCCGGAATGTCCCTTTGCGGTGAGTCGGCACCCAAATGCCCACAGTATGGATATGGCAAGGTTGAAAAAAAAAATCTCTTTTTGATAGTGTTATGCAGTCTTGCCCCCAACCATCCTACAATCTAAAAATAGTATGCAAGTTTAAGAAGAGAAATACCAGGTCCATTACCAATTTCAAAACATGAGCTAAAAATGACAATCAAACAAAATAATTGTGATTTGTTCCTGCAAATCTACCAAGTTTCTGGAGTATAATTTACTTTGGCAAATTTTGGCATGTATCAAAATATGAAAATTCAGGTGCACTTGCATAAATTCTTTCAGGTATATCTGGGCAGATTTTCTTCACTTGCATGCTACAAAATCACCCTTTATTTCGTTTTGGCAGCAAATTTGATATCTTTAGTACGAAGTCTGTGAGTGCCTCCCATTCATTACATGTTGAAACTTGCGTAATCTACATTGATTGCACTAACTTGCGTGTGAAGAAATGGCTAGAAGGATTGATTAAACAGTGATGTCGAATGGAGAAATAAACCCCCAATAGCATAGTCATTAGAAGTCTACCAAGGTTGGTTTGGTGGTATAATTTATTATATCGTCTTAAATTGATTTAGAATTCTCCCATTGACAATCTAAAAACACTAAGATGATGTTCTCAATCACAGTTGCTTTCATTCTGCTAGCGGCCAATCAACTAAATCATAAATGTTTTCCTTCCTCTCGTAGCCACCCAAGCAATTGCAAGATATTGGTAGAGTGTCTTCTGTAATCAGCTCTGCAGTAAGTACATCTCATTCTTCAACTTGAACAAATCCTAGAAATGCTTCATTACTTTGAAATTCATTACAATTAAATACCCAAGAGGAGCAGGACAAAGTTTTGGGTGCCATGTTTGCCACAGGTTTTGAATGATTATGGCTGTTCTTTTTGATAGTTTTGTCCTTGTTATGTGAATAACTGTGTAGTAAAGATATAAATGACATCCTTAAAGCCCATTGCACATTAGATAATCTCATCCAATTTTAGAAGAAACTTAGAAGAAACACCCAAAGGGACAACAACAGGAATAGAAATGGAATTTTCCTGATAAAGGACCCCTAAAGTATCATGAATGATTAAGTTGTATTGTTATTGTAGTGTTGTGAGGCCTTCATGATGAAGATAATGTTGGTATTAATTACCAATTTAAATGATGAGTTTTTATTTAGAAGTCAGTGATTAGAGCGAATTTCAATCAATTTATGTGAATAATTTGATTGGTAAAATGAGAAAAGTCACCAACTGTTAAAGATATTATTTCCAGGATGATGACAACATTCCATTGCGGGTCATGCTGCTGCTAGTGGATGAAGTCTTTGACCTGAAGAATCGTGATCAGTGGCTACGTCGTCAGGTGGAAACCCTCCTGCGACAGATCATCAAGGCAGCATTTGGCACCAAGATCAACTCCAGGATAATCGAGGGAGTGGAGACAATCACATCACCAGCTCATGTGGCAGAACTTGTAAAAAGATTCAAGTAAGGAATTCAGTGATCCTACTCATGCTCTAGCAACATTTGTTCCAAGCTTGATTTCATAAAATATATATGGTTAGGGTTATTGTTTTGGTTATTGTTAGGGTTAGGTACAGTGTTTCGTCTAGGGTTTAAAGTTTGAATTATGTTGGTGTAGGATATTGACTGTGGAGTTAGTTGTCACAGGAGCATGTGTTGTAGAACCAGTAATGCAACTTGAAGCTGAGTGGGTAATCTTAAATGGGGCAATTATGTGCTTTCGCAAAGTTGAAACTCTGACCTTCACAAAAAGATAAATAATGACAATTGAAAGAGAAAGTACATTTCATTGGTTAATGTCTTGCAGGAATGCCTCTACAATTTATATTAATTTTTTATTTTTACTCTTTTGTTCCCTCTTTTTATCTGCATGTGATTTTACCTCTTTCTTCTCAATCTCTTCTCTCTCTCTCTTTTTTGTGTCTGTTTTTATCTCTTTGTCTCACTACATGTTTTGATTTCGATCTCTTAATCTTTCTGTTCTCCCCTATCTCTGTCTGTCTCTCTGCCTCTCCCCCTCCCACCAACTTCCCCCTTCTCTCTCTATCTCCCTCCCCCTCTCTCCTCCTTTTCTCTTATTCTTTCTGTCTCTCTCTCTCTCTGTCTCTTGCTGTCACTCTATGTCTATCTTTGTTTCTATCCTGATACCAGAGAGTCTTTCTGGCCTGGTGGTGTGCTAGCAGAAGTCCCTGAACCCAGAGATGAGGCTACAAAGCTCAGGACCAGAGTTGCTGCTAAGGCTGAATTATTTGGCAGTGTGCCAGGTAACATTCCTTGCTATACCTATGGAATGCTTTACTGAGAATATATATACATGTATGTACTCTACTGTCAGGGCTGGATTCAGGGTTGTCAGGAAGGGGAAGCCAATGCTTTGCTCATAGACATGAATTTTGTAATCCCACAGAAGAAGGAAAGGGGGAGGAGGAACCACTTTTATTTTCCCCTCTTAAAGATACTATGTCCCATTTGCAGCCAACATCAAATTGTGTAGAACTTTGCAGGAATTATGAATATGTCATGTATGTCCTATTTGTGAAATTTAAACGTTAGCAGTGTCATATTATTCAAATTATGCAAGGAAACCCATTTACTTGCTAGACTTCACTGTCAGACACTATTGAGTGACTGACTTGCCTTTTTTCTTTCTTTGGTAATAGCATACATAAAATGAGCTGTAAAGGGTACATGAACATTTGTCTACATCAATAACCCACTTCTTGTAATGGCCAAAATTAAACTGATTGAATCTTTGCACAGCATAAAACTTACGACCATTCGGTACAATATGGTCTGAAAATCAGACTATCACTTAATGGCTCTATAGCTCTTAAGTCAATCCGACAACTAAAAGTCATTATTTTTCCACTTTAAAACATTTTCAAGCCCCCCCCCCCCCCCTTTTTTTTAGGGAAGTTCTAAATTAGTATTATCTTTCAAATGCAGTTGGAAGGCACTAGAAATTGAGAGGGAGAATCCTGATCCAGTGATTACCTTATAAAAAAGCCATATCGTCTATGATTGTCTTTTTCAATATGGGTGTAGTAAATGGGTATTGTGCTTGAGGACATACTTTAAGTTAACTGCTTATTTTGCTATGTATGGCAGCTTGGCTAAAGCCAGGATGATGATATCAGGAGCACCTAGAAAAGAAGGAAATGTAAGAACCCATTATGTTAACTATCGTTCTTCGGATCTAAACCAAGAAAACCTTTTCTGTCTCCTTTGTAATTCAGATGACCTGAAGAATTTCATCGGCTCGGAGACGACGCGGCGGGGGATGCTGAGAACCTTTAACATGCTTCAGAACCACACGCTGAACAAACGACTCTTCTACGTGTTCCTCGAGAATCTCCTCCTGACCCTCTACCCAGAAAACAAGTTTGGCGAAATCTTCCGCAAACTCCACTCCCAGTCACCGCGAATACGAGCCCGCAAGGAGAAGCTCCTAGAACAAGAGGGGGCGACACAGCACCAGCATCAGGAGCTGCGTAGGCGAAGAGACGTCAGGTGACATACAGTGAACGCTGCGAGAATCAAACATCCAATTTCTGTAGCTTAAGTCCTGTTCCGCGATGTCAAGTTGGAAGGTGTAAGATGCAACCAAGGTCCAGTTTCTCAAAACTGCCACAGTTCGTAGACATCCCATATTAAAGTGTTCAAATCACCTAAAACAATGTACCGGTAATGCGTGTTTAGCCAAAATATATACAGTGCGTCCAAGAAAAAACGAAACCGAGAATTATCAATGTTTTATCATAACTGTATAGTCAACCAACAATAATTTTGACTCGCATTTTATAGGTTAACGGTTTAGGAGTATGATGAAAATGAAGGGTAATACAAAACGCTTTGTATGGAGCCCTGGTTCTGTGCGCACCTTATTCTATGCGAGCAAGAAATAGTGTACTCAACGGCATTTTACTACTTACTTAGAGTTTATCGAAAATGCAAAACCTCTTTGTAGAAGTAATATTTGAAGATCATGCACTGTCCTTTGAATATTGCATAGCAATATGGAACCCCTTTAATACATCAAGAGGAAAACATGTTTTGGTGATTGGTTCACTTTAAGTCTGGATGACTCATGTTTCAATTGCATGTCCAAGAAGTAAGACTTATGCCGGTTTGAGAAACAGCCCCCATGTTGTTCTTTGGTTGCTCTCTGGCTTCATGTGATGCAGATGCAGTTTGCTACTGTCGCCCTACTGATTGAACCTAATATTTGATTCTAGGACCGCTCTGACAATCAATCATTAATATTTTGAATGTTACAAGACATTCTTCATTTCTGCTTGTAAAATAGAATAACATACAGGTGTATACAGTTGAAGGAATGTAAAACAGATCTCTAAATAAATACATATCTTGGAGGTAATTTAAAATTTCATCTTGATTTCGTCACCATAGGTGTCATTTAAAAGCTTAATATACAATATAGGACAAATAATATTGTAAATTCTAAATACCTGTATTTGATATGGTATGGGATACACTTTTTATTCATAAATTTAAAAAAAAATAATTCTGAATTGCACCCATTTTATCATGAATTACATGTACTTTTTATCATTCTAATTTCTATCATGAGATATCAAAACTAACTTATCCTCATAATGTCCTTCATTATTAAAAAAAGTCTAGAAAATGGTCTTAAATTTGTACAGCACCAGAAATCACAGTAGCAACTGCAGTCTACACATGCTGCATCTGTGGCAAGACAGTAATGGCAATTTGTATCTAGATTTCAAGAATTCAAATTCCAAGATTCTTTGCAAATTGATCCTTTTGGGGGAATTATCCATCATTTGTTTTTCATGCCAAAGACTACATTGTAAAGTACCCTTCCTCTTCACCAAATGTTGCAATGATTTGTTTTTGAAGGATTCTGTCATATTGGAAATACTACAATTGTGTATACTCTTTTATTTAATACATTATTTTATTGACAACGAGACAACAGCAAAACCTCAGTCACACCAATGAGACTGACACCAGATCAAACTTGGAGCATAATGAGGGAACTATTTCAGTGCTCCGTCAATATGACATCTCAACGAGTGTCATTTTTGTTGATGTAACTATCTCTACTCTAGTTACATACTCCTATAATGGCCAAGTTGCTTTAGAGTCAATTTCAGTTTGACAGTGTGACCAAGGTGAGAACACTTGAGGCTTGTTCAGATACAGTCAATCCACAATGTTTGATAATTATATTGGTGAGTGCATACATACATACACACCAGCTTAGAATTATATTGGTGAGTGCATACATACATACACACCAGCTTAGAATTATTTAAGTCTTTAATTCGGGTTTAAATTTAAATAATTTGCGTTTTTAGGCTAAATTTGTACTTCAAAAATTCCAAGACTACCGGTACCTACTTTGCGTCAATTTCAATTTGACATTTTTGTTCACTGGAATAATTTCTCTGGTGTACCATTCAAATTATACAATTTGCTTTTTTAGCTGGGTCAGGAACCACAAACACAAATTACGATGCAAAATCACTGATGAAAAAAAGTTGCATAATTACGGTCAATTAATATTGTGGAAATAATACTTTGAACTTCATGTATTATGTTAAATTTGGTATAGGAATGAAGAATCAGATGGTGTGGCACTCTGCCATGACAAATGAAGATAACACTCTCTATCGTCATCAAAGCACCATGCTGCAATATCACCCTGAAAATTATACTCAGTTCAGCCCTCGCAAATCAGTGAAGTTCGTGGATGAGAATGCTAAATGAATATTAATTGTAAGCCTCATTGGCTTATATGCACCACGGTCTGACTGGATATGATGCAGCAAAACTACTACAGGTTCTTTTATTATGATGATGTTATGTGTAATATGGCATCACATTGCTGGATCTTCTATAAACCTGTGTATGATCAAATCTCTTTGCTTATAACACAGAGTTAAAGGGCAATCCAACACTTGGTTTAAATTAATTTGTATGAAAGCAGGAAAATAATAGAAACAGAATGGTGAAAGTTTGAAATAAATGTATGTAATATGAGATTACTATACCATTGCAAATCTCAAATTGGCAGTTTGCTAAGTGGATTGTGACATAGCCAATTTCTGTTTTTTTCCTAAGCGCCTTCTCCCTTCGGGCACTACTTGAAATATATTATGGACAGCATACTAGTAACAGTCCTCCAAAGAATATAGACCTTCCCGAGTCACACAATTTTGATTTTTTTTGTTTTTTTTTTGTTGGTGTGTTGGAACAAGTGGGAAAGTTTTGCGCCAATACAAAAATGCAGCCGTTTACGTTGTCTATCTGAATGAGCCTTTATTTAGTGTCTCCATAGAAAAGAATCTTACACCAATTCAATCATACTTGTATATCTTATCTTCAGAAGTTAAATTTGGTTTGTACGCTCTGGGACATGCCTCAGTTCTCGTAGAGCTTTGCCTTATCAGGATTATTTTTCTGCCATAGCTGGTGTCTATGAGGGTGCGTGAGTGTGTATATGTTTGTGTGTGTCAGTAACAGTCTGGTTCTATACTTTTACAATTGTCTCCATTCAACCTCCCTACTATTGAAACCAATTCTGTTAGGAGCCACAAGGGTGTAAACTCATGTGTTAATATCTATGAGTTAATGCCCTTCTTGCTCCAAACAGTGGAAATCGTGATATTGTCTGTTTAGAGGAAAAAGGATTATAACTCATATACATGTACTTAAACACAGAGTTAAGTTCTCCTGTCTCTGAACAAGTAATAATAGGGAGAGAATTTCTTTCTTTCTTTTTTTGTTTTTGTCAAAGTGATTCAAGTTTTAACCGGAATATCAAAGTAATGATAATTATAAATGTTGTACACTGTAAAATATATTGTGCCATAAAAACAAAAGAGTTCAGAGGTACATGTAGGCATATGTACATATACCTTAAATGTTTGATCTTTTCATATTTTCCTAGATGGAATTGAATGTAAATTTCTCTCCTTATTTGTACAACAATTGATCAGAATTTTAATGACATTGAGCGCGACACAAGGTTGAAATGTTTCGTTTTTTAAAATCTTGTTCGCATATGGCATGCTGAACCACCTTACAAACAAAAGTATGTGGCATAAATAACTAATTGTGTGCTTTACATTTATGCCTCACCATGCAAAGATACTTTGGGGAGAACATTCACCAGGGTACATCCTTGGAGGCAGCTACTCTTTGCTGTGATGTTTAGTTTTTCTTTTATATTGGATTTATCATGTCACGTGTAAAGGAGGCCATTTGGAGTGTCTCATATTGGATGGATGTGCAATCAATGAAGATAATTTTGCGATGATTTCTTTCATTTTTCTGGGCTGCTCTTAATATCAGTTCAAGTTCATTTTTTCCCTGTTTGATATATTATTCTTTTAAGACTTTGAAATGTGCAAATGTTTGCAGTGATTGATGTTGAAAATACTTAAATGTGCAAGTAGCACAAAAATGACCGATAGCTTGTTTGGTTTAAATTTATTCTTGAAACATGATACTACTAAAAATGTGAAAGTTAAGCGCATAGAGGATAAATGCAAGTTATTTTATTTCATCAATAAAATCTATATATGTGTATTTCACAAGAGTGCTTGATATAAATCATTCACAATGTGCATTTAGTATATGCAAGCACTCTTGTGAAATACACATATATATTTTATTGGTGTGATGCTTCTATTGTAAAATGAAAGCATCATTGCTTGTATACTAATTGCTCTATCCATATATATGTGTATTGTGTCGCGGGGTAAAACAATTTTGTTGGTGGGGGGGGGGGGGGGGGGGGGGGGGGGTATATTGTGAAGTTACATTATACTTTGTAGTTTCATAATATGTGACATTCAGAGCAAGGATTTTTCCAAATTATTACATGGACCAATTGGATAACACACAAAAATAAATCAAGATAATTTATACTGCATTTTAAAAATCTAGGAATGGAAAAAGGCACATTCCATTAATTTTGCTTTCATTTTTTTCTTCAGTTTGCTATCAGTACTCTTTTAATATTGACCAATACCTAGCCGAATGTATCAATGCAGAGAGGAATACATGTAATTTCCCCGAAAAGAAAACAGAAGCAAAGCAAGGGGGCGTGGGAAAGGGGTGAGTAAGATCTTTGATAATTAGTACATAATACTTGCTATACCAATGTATGATATTGTACTTCAGCTTCTCTGTACTGTTTAATATATTTCTTTTGAGTGTAGCCAAGACAAAATTCAAGAACTCAGGATGACCTTCAGAGACTTTAGTAGAGTTCTATCATGTACATCACAAATGCTTTTTACTGCCAGTGTATTTCACATGTACTATGATTTAATCTAGAGCCTTTTTTGGGGAACCCTTGTGCAATAGATCATTAATTAGAAAGGATTATTTGGGATCTAGATCTTGTGTTTAATTGATAGAGTTACAAAAGGCCAGTTGATCTCTCTCTCTCTCTCTCTCTCTCTCTCTCTCTCTCTCTCTCTCTATCTCTCTCTCTCTCTATCTCTCTCTACCATATCTACTGACTATGTCAATCATGCTATTCTACAGCTCTTTGTTTCTAGCCTTTGCCAGGAGCTCCATTCCTTGGTCTTTCACTCCTCTCTCCGGCCTCAAGCCATGACTGCAGACTAGCTTAAAGTACTCTTCTTCTTCCTCTAACTCTTTCCCCCGATCATTCCAGCTGGTAAAGTAGGTGTAATAAAGTCCAACAAAGGTTGCTCAAAACAATTGTATTGGAAAACTCAAAATAAAAGCTTCTAACAAATACACATGATTTGAGTGTCTTACAGTAACCATTTTGTGAAGCAATATTAGCTTGCACCTCAGAAATTTCAATTACGGTAAGTGGTTAGTTTGTGCTTTTAACATGTCTAACTAATTATATACAAGCCAGGATGGCTAATTATTGTGGGACTAACCTTAATTTATGGCCAATTTTCAAGGCATACTAATGTAGATCTTTTAACTGCCTCTAACATTGCAAGCCATGATAAATGTATTTCTGTATTTTGAAAATGTTGACATTCTTGATTCCACTCATCAGTTTCTACTACGCATTGGTACAAATTAAATCAGTCATCTTTATAATGAGGTTCATCTAATGAAATTCTATCTTTTTTATAAATCCTTTAGAAATTTTGGTTTTGTGATTTATAATGTATATACCCGGTAGATTGAAGTGTTTCCAAAATATATCCTCTCCAGAAAATTAATGTTTGTGTCATATTGCGACCTTTGTGCACCTGTTGTGTAATGAATTCAAACGTATGGATTTGATACCCCGATCCATTTTGATATTAAGTGTTTCTTTTATAAATTAATTGAAAGAAATCAGGTCAGTATGTACTATATGTGTATTGTCATTGTAAAGGCTCATTTAGACAGGGCAATAGACTGCATCATAAGACAGCTGCACCAAATGAAAAAACAGATAAGTCTAATGCACTATATCTTTCTGTATCATGTATAATATGAGTTCAGGGAGTCCTCTTAGAGGCAATTAATTAGCACAACTATTTATGTTTACCCCTACAGCATTGCCTCTGGTACATGTAACCTGGCATGAAAAGACACAACCAGAATGCTAAAGGCACGTTAGTAAGCTATGCTGGTGCATCTAAAATTATAATCTTACTTTAATACATGTATCTGGTCAACAGTTTGGGTATTATTTAGCCTAATCGGGTCTATGTTCTTACATCATCTGTTTGGATCCAGGAGATTGTTATATTAAAGCCCTTCTGGCTCAAAACACACAATAATGGTTCTGTCTCTAAGAAATTAAAATTGATGATTTTCCACTATCTTCCATTGGGCGTTTGGGACATGCCTTTATGTGCCACTTCATTTTGCTAACTTACATACCTTACCAATCATTTACACTTTCATGTCTGCATTAGAGCGACTCCATGTACCATACAACATATGTCATGTATCCATATATTTCATTCATAAATCATTTGATATGACCATTACTAATAGTAATACTAGAAAGCACGAAATCCAATTTACATATCAAGACGTTCTTGGATGATATACATGTATGTGGGGGAAAAGACATACGGTATGTCGTGCAGGACACATTCCACTAAATGTCCCATTTGCTTTTGAGGCGGTTTACTGCGCCAAGTCTGAATGGGGCTCCAGGTAACGCCTGTCTTGGTAATGCTTGTCTCTCTATTTTCATGACATGAAGTTTATTTTGTTATAAATTGGTGCTGATTGTATCTTTTCTGTCTTTTTTAACAAAACGATATGAAATGGAAAACAAAAATATTATGGACATAAAGGTTAAATCCAGAAGTTTGTACTCTTGTTTTTATTACTAGCTTTAAGAGGTTGATCATCAGATTGTAGGCTGTACACTTTGTTTAGTTTTTATTTGTCGGAATTATTTCAGCTTGGATATTGCTTTCATACATCCATGTATCTAAATACTTTATATTCAAATTTAAGAATGGAGAAACGGAAAGTATTATAAGTGAAATTCTTATTTTAGTATTAAAGCCAATTAATACACAGGAAATTGCATGACCGACCTCTTGAAATCTGTAAGGGGGAGGAGGGGAATGACTGAAATTAGGAAGGATTTTCTTTTCTCACATTCTTAAGTCTAGACTTTGCAAATTTTTGAAATTTTTAAATGTTATGTTTCAGAAAACTACTACTAAACCTGTCATTCACTCAATGATTTATTGTTATCATGATAACAAATTATGTGAAAAGATTGTATCCAACTTTTCCAATGCAATTTAAAGCATCAGTAGGAATTAAACTGTGTTTGTGTGAGTGTGTGTTTACAGTTAAGACAAAGCGGTAAGTTAGTATCCCAGAAATACTGTTTTTCAGTTGTAAGAGAAGCGCTAGCTGCTAGAAAACACATTTATATTACCCCCTTTACTAACATCTTGCATATATTGTTATTGTATTGTAAAACACATTTCAGCTGTTGACACAAGTTACATCTGAAAATGTGTTTTTTTGTATAAAATGTAGTTCATATAAATAGCTACATGTTATTTTTCAGATACATCATTTTAATCCATATCAGATATATTGCAAAAGAGAGAGCTCACACATGCAATTTTATTTTTATTGTCATCTTTCAGGAAAACAACAAACATTTATTTCACCGTTTCATTTGCTTATTATCTGTGTGAAACTGGATATTAATGCCCTTAATGTAAATATGATACGAAATGAATATTATATGTGGAACAATATTTTTTGTCAAAGAATTTGTTAAGTAATAATGTGGATAACTATTTTGTGTGTGTGTGTGTATATTGTGTTTATACTTGTACATATATTGAACAGAGAGATATCCTCTATTAAAAAAACTGCAATCTAAATAATTTTGTGTGTATTGTTTTTTTCTATTTTTGGTTATGAACTTCCCTTTATACCTCAGTCACACCGGACCGACACTTGGGCATCTTTTCACGAGCTTTCGATTTTAGGCACCCGACGTGGGCTACTACGCGTGACGTCATATTTATCCCCTGCGCATGCGTGAGCTTCTGGGCCCATGTTCCCTCCCAAATCACCCGACAGGAGTCGGGGGCAAATTCCGTGAATCGCTTTAGCCGTGAAAACGTCAACGTGAGTGTAGTTTCATCACCTTCTCTTATGTTATTCTTTGTTTTTATCATTCTATCACTTTCTGTCTCTCCTTATGTTATTCTTTGTTTTCATCATTCTATCACTTCCTCTTTTTATCTTTCCTTATGTTATTCTTTGTTTCTTCCTTCTATCACCTTTTCTTATGTTATGCTTTGTTTTATCATTTCAACTTTCCATTTCTGTCATCATGTTATTCTAATTCGTATCAGATTTTGGCGCACTGTGATTTTATTACCTGATTTAATCACATGATCTAAAAAATTGGTCACATGACTGACGAAAGCACCGACGTGAACAAATCGAAAGCACTGCCAACGTCTCCAGTACCTTGTAGTAGCTGACGTCGGGTGCTTAAATCGAAAGCTCGCTAGTCAAAGTGCGCCAACATCACATTAAACCCCTCACCAATTTTAATACGTTTGCAAAAACTCCCTAGTAAAAAATGACCTCAATGATAATGAGAACCATGAACTTGATATCTAATGTTACAATAATTACAATAAAATTTGTCACACCCAAATTATTAAAAAAAAATTATAGAGCAATCAACCACACACTATGGATGCAGCCCTTATGAGTGCAATAAATGTATCAGATATTGTCACTGGGCCTTGTCCTAACAAACAACGCTTGCCGAGCAATAATAATGAGACCATAAGTTACAGGTAAGCTCAGACTAAAATTTCTTCAAGGTCAACAAATTTAAACGTCTCTTCGCAGTATACACTAGGGAGTGATTTGGGATATACATGTATTGTTCATTACAATTATCACGGTCTTACCAGGCCTTATTTCACATGCATCTGACACAATTTTTTGTCTCGCCTACTTAGCAAAA